CTTGGATTTGGGGTTAGCAAGTGCCATCTTGAGAGATTGCAGGACGGTGATGATGGTTTGTTTCTTTGCAGGAGGAAGACAAAAAGTAAAGGAGTGTATTATAAACTGCAGGTAGAGCTGCTGTGTGATCCTTGAGGAAGGGTGAGCACCTGGGAATAAAGGGGGAAACAACTTGGTAATAAAGGGGGGAAACATGCCATGGTTTGTGATAAACAAAATATGCTTTTCTTTTTATTTTAGTAAGAAAACAAAATAGGAGGGCCTGCTGTGACTGCAAATCTGTGTTATTTCATTTTCCCTTCTTGAAAGGTTAGAAGATGGGTGGATATGGGCCCTTCCTCTATATGTGAATGAATTTTATTTAGCACATGTAATTTTTTTTTGTCTGAAAGCCCCTTGCAGATGTATCCAGGTGTTTGTCTCTGCTGGCAGGAATTCCTGCCTTATTTAGTTACAGTGGTGGTGTTTCCACAGCCCTGTCCCTGTGGGGCATGTGAACTGTACCAGACGCACACCGAGGTCACTTGTCCTGCTGCTCACAAAACTTCATGCTTTATTTCAGGAGAGAACATGGTTTCCATGATGGCAACTCTGTGGCAAGTAATTATTCCTATGATTGTCCTGTCCCACTTCTCAGCATCTCTGTCATCCCGGGAGAGGTAAGCATTTCTTGGGACTCTGCTTTCTTTTTCTCCATGGTTTTTGTTCAAAGACCCTGCTAGCTGAAAATCCAGTCTTTTAGCTGCCTTCCTGAACTTGTATCTGCTTGTGGATCTTCTTCTTCCCTAAACAGATTTAGTTAAATGAGTGAAAATACTTTAAATGGTTTTTTTTCTTGCTTAAGAATGGGAATATTAATTTTATTTAATTCGGGACAAAATTTGTCCCCCAAACAAAACACAGTTACAAAGACACTTTTGAGTCTGTTTTTCTCCTATGCACTTACACACCCTGATAAAGATGAGAGTTTCTGTTCCCAATAGCCTGGTCCCATAAAAACATAACCAGAAATAGCCCACCCTGTAAGTTCACCAAGTTCACCAAGGGAGTTGCCTGTAAGGGCAGGTCTTTGCTGCCCTTTTCAAAGTGCTCCTCATCTTTGTGTCTCTGATGTTTGTTTATTACTTCTCCAGGCTCTGGCCCTGCTCTCTTGTGCTGAATCATCAATAACCCCACATTCCCACATCCTTATGGCAAGATGATTACATCAGTAAAAGCAAGGGCAGGTCATTTTCCTGTGTGATGTTCAACAAAGATATTTTTAAAGCTCCCATTTTGTTTGGTGAAACTTTGCCAAAGAGGCACGAATTCTTGCCCATGTGTGTTTGGGACTCTCTTGCCTTGAGGCAGCAGTTTTTAACGGCTGTTCTTGTGCTTTCAATGTTTTCAAACCATTCCTTTTGACCCCTTGTTCCCTGCTCCAACCCGCAGGACGGAGCGCCACGCGGACGGGCTCTTCCACAGCGAGCTCAGCAAGATGAACGACAACGCCTACGTGCAGCAGCTGGTCAAGCACCTGGTGGGCCTCAAGGACAGGTGAGGACCGGCCACACCACCCTCTTGAGGGGCTGCCCGTGGAGCTGAGCTCTCCAGCTGCACAGCCAGCCCAAGATGGCAGGGGAAGGAGTGCAGGGCCCCGTGGTGGTGGGAGGAGAGGGACAATGGGACAGCGGCCGTGCCTCGTGGTGAGTCCCAAGTGCCATGGCTGGGAGGAGCAGCTGCTGTCCCATGTTGTCCCTGTCATAAATGCATATTATGGTGTTGACTTTTCACAAATATTAGGGTAGATACTATATGTGTGGTGTGGAAATGGTTTTTAAGATATAGTTTTCTTTAAGAGTAACATAGGCTAATAAAGTGTCTTTGTAATAAGCAAACTACCTGCTTGGTTAGATAACACCCAGTGAAGACACCTCCTACAAATATACCAGTTACCAGCATGGACTGTCTGTAGAAATTGAAGACCACAGCCCAAATTAAGACTGGTAAAAAAATAAATTAAAACTACAGACAAGAAACATGCATGCTCTAAAAAGGCGGATTCAAGGAGTGGCCATGTAAAACAGTTCCTAAAATATAAAAAATAATTTGTAGAAAAGTTTGAAAATGTATTATAGGTCTATGAATATGCAAGGAGCTGATGAATTTAAAGAGTAGCTCCAAAACAGCAGGTGTGCTCTTGGCTGAATGCCAACACCCGGCCATTATTACCTTTTGCTTTCTTGTTTGTCTCTTATTGTCTTTTATTAAACCTTTTAAAATCCACCAAGGAAGTGAACTTTGTTTTTCACATCCCCACACAGGTCCCAGAGGCACTCGGATGGGCTGTTCACCAGTGAGTACAGCAAGATGAGAGGCAATGCCCAGGTTCAGAAATTCATCCAAAGCCTCATGGGCCGCAAGCGCAGGTGAGAGGGAACCTCTGGTGTCCCAGTGCCCACTGGGGCAGGGTGTGACACTGAGGCCATGTCTGTGAGCACAGCAGAAGACACAACACAAGGTGCAAATGCTGCTCTGCAGTGGTGGTGGTTTGGTTACATAATTGGTGGTTGATTATTACTTTTCTTTATCTAAACCAGCTCTCCTGGCCTGGTCAACACAGACATGCAGGGGAGAGAAGGAGAAAACAACCCTGAGGAACTTTGCTTTCTCTGGTTGTACCAGAGCTTTCTGAACACCAGGTAGGTGGGAGAGATTGCTCACCTCTGTGACTCTGAGCCCCACAATGCTGAAGCCAAAAAAGGACTTTTATGAACGGCCATAGAAAAGTCAATTGTTAAAAATACTAAAACCCAGGGAAGCAAAAAAATATATTTTCTTAATCATTTCCTGAGTTGTCATTCTGAATTGAAGCTTTTATTAATCCCATTAAGAAATGTGATCTAATGGTTAAAATTGAATGAAAGCTTTTGCTACTCTGTCTGGATTCAGCTGCTGATTGAAACACACACCTCAGGATGGGTTGTCCCAGCACCTGTATATTGTCTTTTCCTAATGCCCAACAACTTTCCCTTAGACATCTCACTCTTAAATCACTGTAATCAAGAGGAATAAGCTGGCCCTTGGTACCCCTTGTGTCCACAATGGGGGTGGAACATCACTGTGCATTTGTAGAGTAGCAGCCATGATCCCTTTATCATACACCTACTCCTTGGAGTCATCCTTGAATGTCACAGCGTGGCCTTGTCACACTTTCTGCACTCCATGCTCCCAGAAATAATGGACTATCCCTGATTTTTCCCTTCCCACAGCCGCTCAGACAGAGATGCCAGGGAAGCTGCTGCCATTACCAGCCAGTACATTTGCCCCTTCTCTAAGCAGCTGCTTGCAGACATGAAGGAAGATACAGATGGTTCTGAATGAAGGTGAAGGGAAAGAAACAGCCAAGGAGAAGCTTTGTACATGCATGGCCTTGAAAATAAACAGGGAAGCTCTTGCTTAGGAAAAACTCTTAAGATAGGCAAATAAATAAAAATAATCCTGGAAAGCAGTCAAAAGCCAATGAAACCTCTGAGATTATTCAAAGTGAATTGTATGTGGGTGTGTACTGCTGTCAGTAGATGGAGCCTGAGCGAAGCACATTCCTTCCACTCTGTGTTGACATCTGGCTGCCTGCTGCTGATTCCGAATAAAAATGGTTACCTGTGCCTGTGCCTTGGCTGCTCTTTGGGAAATTGGAATAAGAGTGCATCTGTTACAAGGTCTTGGATTATTAGGAATGCAAGGGTGGAGCATTTTCCCAGGATTCCCCTACATAAGGAATGGTGGGAAACATGGCTGGGACTGGGGAGTGCCTACAGTGCAGCTGTGCACAGAGGTCAGAATCAGGGCTCCATGTAGCAGGAATAAAGGCAGATGTTAGGTCTTATGGCAAAGAAATGTTCTGAGAGCTACACAACAGAGATACTCACTGTAAAATTTCTTGGAGTTGGTGGCCCAGTTTTGTCAGAGCCATTAAAGACAAAGCTCCACCAGGAATAATTTGTTCCCACCACTTATTGAGGTTTATGTGCTGTCCCTGTGCCACACAGGCAGATGGTCCCCCTTTGATGGAACAGCCACACCAGCTTTCCTGTAAAACCAATGGATTTTGGAGAGCATCTCCAAAAGTAAAGTAAGGATCTTCAGCTGCAATCCTGTGCTGTGCAATCCTGCTCCAGCATTTTCCATCATCTATGATGGACCTGACACCTGCAAAAGGAGCTGTTCCCACTCAAATGCACTCCTAAACACCATTCCCTTACTAAGAAGCTGAACAAACCTCACCAGTTGTTAATTTCGGTCCTTAGGAAGTCTCTGCTAGGAAAGATTCCTTTTGGAATACTTTTGGAAGGAGTGGTGACAGCATGGATTTCATTAAGCCACTAATAACCACCTGGCTGAAGTGCAGCATCTGAGAACTTCCTGAAATCAGAAAGAATTTTAAAAGATCAGTGAGAGCAGAGGTCTCCTGAAAACTTCAGGAAGCTGCTGAGATTCCAATAATTGGAGATTTCCTGATGTGGAAATCTCCTGGAAGGAGATTCTGGGAAGCATCTCTACAAGGAGCAGCCACCAGTAGAAGGAGATATATTTTCCCTAGAAAGTTACTGGGCATTCCTTGGACTGCAGGTGAGCCTTGTCACTGCTGGGATCTATTTGCTCACCTTGTGGGTTATACACCCCATCTCTGGCATATCAGAATCCAAATTTTCCCCCTTCCCTATGGGAGAGATTGGAGTACACAGGCAGCTTCCCAAGTACCAGCCTTTGTCCTTCATACTCAGCTGGGCAAGGGCTTGGTTCTGAGTTCTGAACTGCTTCAAATATATCTTTGTTGCCACAGAGAGTTTAAGATAGGAAAGATCCAGAGAAAAAAGAAGCAGCAAGGATTTATGCGTCATCGTGTTCTATGACTGGTAAATCCCTCAATAAGTCATCCAATGGGGCAAAGAGGCAAAGGTTGAACCACAGCAATCTACAGCCAGCTGGTGTTTCTTGATGCCATAAAGTGGTGAACACAGACAAAGGCACAGGGCAGAACCAGGAGAAGATCAGCTTAGTTAGAAAAAGGGATTTTTCAGCAACTGGCAGCTCACCATGGCTATTCCTCACTGGCTCCTCATGTCTGCACTCTTCCTGCTGCCCCTCTTGGCACAGGTTTCAGCACAGGAACTAGGTAAGCTCTTCCAGGAGCTCCATGTCTCTGAGGAATGTCTCCCGTGGGAGGGGGTGGCTCTGTTACAGGTGGGAGGTTGTTGTGCTCCAAAACACCTTTGCTCCAAGGCTTGTGACCACGGCTCTCTCCCAGCTCCTTCACAACATGAATCCTTGGGCAATTTTGCATCTTATTTGTGTGTTTTTCCAGGATGTTCTGTCACTAACAACCAACCAAGCATTCCTGAAAATCACTGTCCTTATGTGGTGACTACCATCCACGTGCAGCCAGGTTACACCCTAACAATTGATTCCAGTTACCCCGATGGCAAATTCTTCACCATCCAGGACTCCGAGCTGCAGCTGACAACGTGTGTGGACTATGAGGTAAGCCTCTAGCTGGCAGGCTGAAAGGATGGGATGGATAATGCTGGGATGCAATGAGTTTCAACCTGGAGTCTCAGGCTTCCAGGGATTCTTAATCTGTTTCTAAAGGAAATAAATTGTTTCCGTTGTGTGAGTTTGGGAGCCTGCAAAAAAGATGGAGAGAGACCATACATACAGGCTTAAAATGACAGGATAAGGGGGAGTGACTTCAAACTGCCAGAGGGCAGGGTTAGATGGGATATTGGGAGGGAATTGTTCCCTGGGAGGGTGGTGAGGACCTGGCACAGGTTGCCCAGAGAAGCTGTGGCTGTTCCATCCACAGTGTCCAAGGCCAGGTTGGTTGGGGCTTGGAGCAACCTGGGATAGTGAAAGATGTCCCTGCCCATGGCAGGGGATTGGAATGAGATGAGCTTTATCTCCTTTCCAACCCAAATCATTCTGGGATTCTGTCATCTTGTGTGAAGCAGAAAGGCAGTATAAAAGGTCATTGTGTTCACTTAGGTTGCTGCTAAATTATTTTAGCTCCCCAGAGTGCTCTGTATACAGCCACAGGCATCCTTAAGTTCCCTTTCAATGGAAAAATCCACTTTTACTTGAGAAAAGAGCAACAACCAGAGTTAACACCCGCAGGTGCCACTGTACTTGCTGCATAGAATGTTTCTGATTTATTCAATTTTAAAAGAAATCTGTTTGATTTTACCTGAGGTGAGAGAGAATGGAAGATTAGCTCTGCCAATATCTTACAGGAATTGCAGGGAGAGCGCCTGGAAGATGGGGCTGTTTTGATATCATCATAAACAAGATCCCAGCATTAAGGAAAGACAGGAAAAGTCAGATACACCTGAAAATAAGATAAAGTCCAGCAGCGTTTCTGATTCAGCAAAGCACACATTTGGCTCATTTGCTTTAGCCAGAATTTGTTCTCTTGGGGTGTTTCTGCAGTGAATGTGTTTGTTTTTCATGCAGGAAGACCCCGTGCTGCTGCTGTACCTGAACTGTGAGAGCCCTGCTGGCCAGGTGAGTGCTCTGCCAGGGCTGAGCCCTGGGACAAGGCACTGCAGGCAGCACCTGCTTCCCTCTGCTCTTGCTAATCCTCACACTGGGATGGGCAGATGTCCTTCTCTTTGTGGACAGACACGCTGGTCCCATAGCCACAGAGAGCACCAAGGCTCTGCCAGTGGGGAGGAGGTGGCAGCAAGCCCACAACCCTGCCCCAGGATGTGGGCTGGCTGCAAACCCCAGCCCCATCCAGCCCCCATCCTTACACTCATCCCCTCTGGTCTCCAAAGTAGGATCAGCCCCAGCAGTCTGCTTTTGTCTTTGATTCTTTGATTTGCCCATTCTACAGAGCGATCTCTTGGAAATCATAGTCACCATTCTGAACGAGAACGACAACAGCCCCGTGTTTGCACAGCCAAACCTGGCCAGGGAAGTCCCAGAGGTAAAGGGTTTCTGGAAGGGAAGAGGGCACTGCTCCCTGAGTTCTGTGGGACTGAGGAAGGGTCAGCAGGGAGAGGACTTCAATCCCAGTCACACAGCCAATAACTACAACAATGTGTTTTTCAGGATACAGGAGTGGGCACAGCCATTGTAGCCCGTGAAGAATTAAGTGCTACTGATGCTGACCTGGACACCATCTACTATGAACTCACTACCACAGTGCAGGTGAGCATCTCTGGGGACAAACAGTAGCTCTGGAGAAGCTGGATTCAGAAAATCCCCAGCTTTGAGGAGTTAACTCTCTCAACTTTTACAAAACCCAAACATTGATTTGGTTAGCAGAGCAGAGCCATCAGTGCTCTTATGGCTCACTCTTTTAATGCACTGTACAGATTAAACTTTCATCTAGGATATTCAGAGCCATAATGACTCAGGGAAGTCTTGTTGGTATGATCTTTAAACATTTCAGGAGACCTTTGTACCTCAGGGAGCTCAGAATTGTGCTGAGTCTGGTGGGGAAAGGAGTCCTTGCCCTAATTGCCAACAGCAGCACGGGAAATGGATTGTGCACACAGTTAAACCAATGCCAGCCTAGAGCACAAGGGCTGGCTGTAAACTAAAATCTAAAGGAAATTCAAGAAAAAAACCAAATGTATGTTTGCATTTTTGAAAAGCACTGTGGAGAGAGCAAACGGTGCTTCCATTTCCTCTATATCCCCAGGGAATTTCAGTTTCTGTGAACAGAAACCACCAATTTTTCAGCTCTGGCATTCACACTGGTGTAAATCCAGATGGATTTAGAAACTCAGAGGCATAAGATTAAAGGAGAAGCAAAGCAAGTGCAGAAGGTTATAGAGTAAAATGCAATGCATGACACTTCAACTCAGCTTTACAGTTTGTTTCAAAGTCCAGCCGTGTTAGGCTAGGGCAGGTGATCCTGTCAGCTCTCAAAAGCTGAGCCTTCTTTGACCTTTTTTGTGCATGGAAGTGAGATTGCTTGACTATTAGGAATCCAAAATCAAGGACTGTTGGCAGTTTGCTAAATGTAGGAAATAAATGAGGTGATAGATTTCATCCAGAAGCTGCTGAGCAGGTGGGCAATCAAATCAGGAGGTCTGGGAAAGGAAAGTCACAAGAACAAATCTTTCTGACAAGCCAGGCAACTCCGGTGTGCAGTAAATAGATCAGACATTCCCACATTCCAGGTCCCCAGGATCAAAGGTTCAGTTCAGATGACAAAGGCAGCAATGAGCAGGAATTGGAATGTGTCTGTGATTGAGTCTGCTATAGGATTTTTCCTTTTCCTTTGCCAGGACACAGATGGTTATTTTGCCATAAGAGGAGTTAATAACCCAGAACTTTATTTACAAAAAGCATTGGACTATGACAAATTTAATTCGACAACGTTGCTCTTGTATGCGAGGGTAAGTGGTTTGGGAGGACCAGAATGGCTCGTTTGCATGGTCCCTCCTACCTGAAGGATGAGTCTGGATGGGACATCTCTGGGATAACAGGAGGGAAGGTGGGGGCTGGGGGGCAGGGGGTGCATTCAGAGCAGCCTTTCCCTCTCCATAAGTGCAGTGACAGACCTGCACTCAGCTCACCTTTGCCAGCAGAACAACATAGCCTACTGCTTTAGCTACTCTCACATAAACTGCCAATTAGACAGAACGGAGTGACAATGGCTAAAGGGCCTCTGCTTTTGGCAGATGGGCCCCTGTTTTGGCAGTGAACCTTGTGTCTCACGATTGTGCTTTGCCTTGGGGGCAGGACAGGCCTGTGACCAGCCCCACCAACACCACCAACACGGCCACTGCAACAATAAGCATCACCATCAGGCAGAGTGACACCCGGGCACCCTGGTTCCTGCCCTGCACCCGGCTCCACAATGACAACAGTGTCTGCATCAGCAGCCCCTACTCCGGCAGGGTCAACATCTCCGAGATGTCGGTGAGCAGGGCTCACACCGGGCCCCTGGTGCTGCTCCCCGTGGGAAGCACTCAGTCATTTCCATGAGCTTGTGCTGCTCTCCAGTGTAAGGCAGATGGTTCAGCAGAACAGGGAGCCTTCATCATCCCCCCACCCCAAGCAGCACCAATTCTTTGTGCTCCTACAGCTCATCACAGGAGAGGCAAGAGCTGGAGCAGCAGCTCAAGGCTGGCTCACCTCTGCCCTGTCACAGACACCTCCCAGCAATAAATCCCGTTCTGCCCTGCAGGGATCTGTGCTGGGCTGGGAGAGCTGCAGTTGCTGATCTGGTCCTGGCTTGTGGGTGATTGTTCGCCTTGTTGTTGCAGACAGAGCCGCTGCTCCTGGAGCCAGGGCCCATCTATGCTGTTGACCCTGACTACACCATCAGTGACAGGATCGTGTACAGCATTGTTGGGGGTGAGTAGAGCTTGTCACCTTCCACAAGGGACATTGCTCACGTCTCCTGTGCTACCTGCCAAGAGCACTTGAGGGAGGGCCTGGGATTTGCCCCTCTAGAGCCATAGAACATTGTTGGTTAAATAGAAGAAACAGCCTGTACAGAGAGAGGAAGGAAAAAAATTACAATCCCACAAACATTGATTTCCTCCATGAAATCTGTTTCAAAAAGACTTTTTTTTTTTTTTTTGTGAAATGAGACATGTTTTATCTTTAAGCTTTTAGATGTGATTTTGTCAATCTGGTCATGCTACTTTCATGCAGTCTTTGAGCTGAACCTAAAATTCTCACATTATGAGCCTAATTTCTATTCATTGTTCACAATTATGATTTTATTCCCCAGCACATTGCCACTATCTGCCCTGTTTTAGTCTTGACTCCAAAAGGATCAAGGCAAAGGTCATATTGGTCGAGTGTTCCTCTCTCTTTACCTATTATACCTCATGGCACCACAGTTGTGAATATCCTCCTGCTATCAAATGTATTAAAGAACATTAAATTCCACTGGCATTTGGATGGAGTGTGGCCTCCCTCCCCACATCAGTGACTCAGATCCTTGTCAACAGAGAGCCCACAGTGTCTCGTGGGGAGGAAGAGAACTAAAAATTCTGCTTATCTTACAACATGTATCCAACATAGGTACTTTTATGATTCCCACACAGATGTTGGAATCTGGTTTCTACCTGTGCATAAATACAAGGTTTATGTCTAGACTCCCTTTGTAATCAGTAGAGAGAAATAAGTATTCCCAGAGCAGACTGGGAACTGGATGGAGATTTCCAGTCCTCAAACTGCACCAGAGGCTCTGGGCATTTATCATACTTTTAGGCTGGCAATCTGTGGGCCTAGGCACTGGAAATGCAAAGCTTTCTGGTCCCACCTCATTTAATTGGGTTCACACTGATCTAATGTATCCCTCTACATCCCTGGGCAGCACTCCCAGTCTTTGGAGCAGCCAGGCAGGCAAGGAAAACAACATTTTTCCTTGGGTAAATGCTATTTTACTAAGGGTATTCTCACTAAGTATATTCTCAGTCAGAGGTGGAAGAATGACTCTGTGAGCTCCAGGTCACTTTATGAAGGAATCTGATGGTTGAATGGTCTTTGCATTTTTTCTAGGGAATACAGATGAAGTGTTCTCAGTGGATGCAGACACAGGGAATCTAACCATGAACAAAGTAGTGACTTCCCCAGATTCCTTTCTGTTGCAAGTTATGGTAAGTGATGACATTACAGCCAGCCCAGCTGGATTTCCAGGAAGCAGCAGCCTCGGTGCAACAGGAGTCAATGATCTCAAAAATAACTCACTTTATTTTGAAGGGCCCAGTGTTTGACCTCTGTCTTGCACCAACCCTCATGCAAAGCCCTTGCAGCAGTTGGGAGTTTCCCCTGAGTGTGGGTGGTGACAGCAAAGGAAATTCACCCTGGGCACGTTCTGCTGGCTTGGGAATTGCAACGGGCTTTGGATTGAGCCCACCCTTTCGTGTCTCATCAGGGGCAGAAGTCTGGCATCTCTCTCTTTCTCTCCAGGCCACCCAGGCCAGCAACATAAGGAAATATTCTGTAGCCACTGTAGAGATCAAGGTCATCAATAAAAGCAATTTTGCACCCTACTTCGAGAAGGAGGTCTACAACGGGACAGTGTTTGTTGGGCTGCCCCAGGGAAGCTTCGTCTACCAAGCTGCAGATCCTTCCACCCCCCTGGTGATAACAGCGTTGGATCAGGATTTCCCCGATGTAAGGAACTAAAATGCTCTGTGCTCTGTCTCACTGCTTCAAGCCTAAAGCAGGATCAGGGAACACGAGGGAGGGGGGGTGGGGAGAAGCAAACACATGTTGTCCTCTAGTGTTCCATGTTAAATTCCCTTGGAAATTCCACAGATACCAGAGCCATTTATTGTGTGATGTAATGGGGAGAAGCTGCTGGACTCCCCTCTTCCAAAGCCAGTCCCACACAGATCACTTGCATAGGTGTGTTTTGCCTGGGCAAGTACTAAAGTTGCCAACACAAGCTGGGTTAAGACTTGGGATTTTTTTTTTAATGTTTTTGTGATACATTCTTGGCCTCTGAGCAACAGGATGAACACGGTCGAGTTCAGCCTTTCTCACCTGCTCAGCCCAGGTTTATTTATTGCTCTCCACACCTTCTGGTAGCTCAGGTGTTTTGGACAAATCCTGCAAGGGGCTGTTGGGAAGATTAATGTGAAGCACAGTGTGGTTTGATCAGCCACTCTCTGACCTTTCAGAAAGTGAACCCCAACATCGAGTACTATCTCAAAGACAGCACTGATTTCATTGCTACCAGGGATGGGTTCATCCTGACCAACACAGTGCTGCAGTCCCCAGGAACTGTGACCATTCAGGTAGGACACCTCTCTTGAGTATTTTGTCAGGGCTGTGGAAATAAGGAGGAATTCAAATCCTCCTTTTGCTTGAGTCAAAGGAAGCAGTCAATAACTTTAGACTTGTAAGAAGCTGGATGTTCCCTTTGTCCACATGCCTGCCCAAGGCTTGCCTGGCACAGTGCCATGCCCTGTGGAACTGTCTGAACCAGCCTGGCCACAGCACTGCTGGAGCCCCAGGGGCAGGCACAGAGAGGTGCCAACACCTGCTGCTCCTGCCCCACACTGCCTCAGAACCTCTGCACTGTGCTGGGAACTGAACACAGAGCAGGGATGTGGTTCAGCTCATCCACCCCCAGGGCAGGGAATCTTCAGAGCTTTTCTTGCCCTGTGACCAGGCTGTCCTCAAAGGGCCCCCACAGACCTTGAGAGAGCTGGAGGTCTGGGAGTGTCTAAGCCATCTCTTTCCCATGTTCCCATAGGCTGTTGGAAAAGATGTGTTGAGCCTGCAGGAGGCAAGCACCATTATTGTGGTGAAGGTCATCCTTGCCACAGGTAGGCTGGGGAGGGGTCTCTTTGTCCTGCTCTGGGGAGCCTTTTCTACTTCTGGGGCAAACTGGCCATGATGGGTCACCTGCTGAAATCTGTGGCCCTGGGCTGAGGCCAACCCCAACCCAACAGGAGGTTCTGTGGTGGCTTTAAGAGGAAAAACACCCCAACAACATGCTCAGAGTGTAGTCACCACATGCCTCAAAAAGCATTCTGAGACTTTAAGTGGTGCTGTGTATGGGAGAGTCTTTTCTTGTTGTTCCAAAGTTAATCCGGGGTTGGTTCATGCTGGGACATAACCCAGGATGTTTTACCATGGCAAAGGAGACCTTGGTACATCATTGGTCCTTTTTAGCCAAAAACAAATCTGCAATGTCTTAGGACAAATCTTGCCTGTCTTAGGCAGAGCAGAGGGCAGCTGGCACACCCCAAAGCCAGGCCTGCACATGAGCCAAAGCATTTCTGCTCAGGTCAGGTCGGGACCAGGATTTTATGGACTTAAAGGAGAAACAGCCCATGAGTAATAAGGGAGACATGAGGCTCCATACGTAACCCTCCAGCTACTGTTTAACCTTGTTGATGTAAAAACAGCTCACACTTCCATACTGCTGAGAAATGACTCTTCAAATGGCCTTATAAATAAATTAGGATTGAAGTTCATGGAACTTCTTATGCTTTGAGTTAGGATGAACCAATAGCAATGAATTTTTATCTCAAGATAGGCAGACAATGCCCAGACTCCACTGGATTCTGCTCGATGATGTGTGATTGAAGTTCCACCACTCCACCCTCTCTTCACCACCATTGTGGGGTGGGAAAATCAAGTGGGTTCCTGGGTGTAAATTTGGATTCCCTAAAGGTAGTGTCAGTTCACAGCTAAAAACCACTGAAACCCAATTTAAGGGCACAGCCCATCATAAAACTTGTCCATGTGTGAGCTCACAGAGTTACAAATGCTCCAACCATGTACCAACACTTCTGGGCAATTTGAAATGTTGCCCTTGCTGCTTAAGCCACACAAAGCAATGGTACTGTTGAACATGCAGAATTACACAGCTCTGTGACTCTCTGTGGGCTGTGGCTCCCCAGGAGACAAGATTAAGCAGCAAAACTTCGCTGAGGTCCTAAATCCTTGCCAAGGTGTTAATGATAAACTGAGGGCGGAGTCAAATGCAGAGGGAATACTCCAGTTCCATTATTATAAACGGGTCAGCAGGAGAACAAAACTTTGTTTCATTAATCATTAATGAGAATCATTTACACTGCAAAATGAAGCTGGAAAATTTCAAGAATACCACCACCACTACCACCAAGCAAAGCTGAGAATGGCACTGTCTTTCCACTCTGGTGTCAATCTCTGTACAAATACCTGACACTGACCAGTGGCTGGAAGCAGAAGCTGCCCCTGAGCAGACTGAGCAATATACTACAGCTACAAAAGGGCAGGAAAGGCTTTCTCGTCCTGGGGACTTTCTAATGCTTTTCCTATTTCCTGTTCTGGTTTTTTTTTGTTTCTTATTTTGATGCGCTCATCTGTATTAGAGGGGATGTTCCAGATGAAAGGAAGCTTTGCATTTTCACACACAGATCACAGATGTACAATCAAACTTCATTTTTGCATTGTAGTGTAAAAGGGTGAAGTGGGAAAGTCAAAGAACTAAATAGGTTTACTCCATGTAGCATTTGCTTGCCTGATGCAGTCAGGTATTTATTAACTTAGTTAAATCACAGGGTAAAAGTCACTATCCTGTAAATGGCTACTATTTCCACCTCATGGAATTTATTGGAAATTACAATATTCTGTGTAATAAAAAGAGAAGTCCTCTGCTTTTAGGATAGCAAAAAAAAAAAGATTTGCTGTGGTATCAGATATACAACTTCACATTCTGCAGCACAGGATGCTTCCTTGCCTTTCAAAAATTGGGTGGAGCTTCTCCCACAGTGAAGGGTTGTGTTGGAAAATGCTTCCTGCCAGTTTTAGGTTTTGTAACACTGGTTTTTTTTCCTCCCAGCTGTAACCCCCTCTGACAAGATGTACTCTGCTCAGGACATGGCTATCTTAGGGGGTGTATTAGCAGCACTGCTCTTAATTGCCTTAGTCTTCCTTGGAGTGCTGCTGTGGAAATACAGTAGGTGGTATGGAAAACCTCTCAAATCCCTGATGAAGAAAAAGGTAAGTGCCTTGTTTGTATCTGAACTTCTAAGACTTAGAAAGTGAGCTCTGAGGCTTTGAATTATGGATGGGCTGCCCAAGTACCACATATTTGTGTGAAGGTGGTGAATCACTCCCAAGACAAAGTTTGCAGAGGTGGCGTCACTTTGGTGCTGTTTGCTGCTGTTCTTTCTGCCCCTGAGGCTGGAGCTGTGTGGTAAATGATGAGCAGACATGGTAAGGAGAGCACCACAGCTCCATGGAGCACAAAATCTAGGATAAATGTGGCACACATCAGAGGCAGTCTCTGAAAAACACCTGCCCGTGGTATCAACCACTGTTCATCCTCCATAGTCAAAGAAGAGAGTTCCTTCATATCTGATCCCTGGGCTCAGACTCTTGTCTACACTTGAACTATTTCAGATTCGACCCCTCAGGTCCCTGGCAGGTTGGTCACTAGGAAGTTTAGGGTGTAATTTGTCTGACCAGATGTCGTTCCCTGCCTTAGGCTGGGCCTGCCAGGAGCTTAGACCTGAGTGCAGAGCACATAGCTCAGGTGGGTAACAAAAGTCCTTCACCCTGAGTGAAGGAAATCCCACTGCAGAATAGGCTGGGTACAAATCACCACATGTGTGGTGCTGGTGCTCAGCCCTCCTGGAGAACAAGCCCACTTATCTGAGAAAACTCCAGAAATGGAGCCAATCAAAAATATCTCTTCCAGGGATCTGCATCTTTCCCTGGTTTCAAATAGGTCTAACTGCAAACCAAGCTGAACTTTCCTGAGCAGGAGCTCAGTCACTGCAGACACCCCTTCCCTCCTGTCCCCCAGTTCTTTTTCTGTCACTACAGTCACTATGTGTCTCTCCTCCTGTAGCTCTCCAAGGAAAACTACAGGAGTTACCAGAACGAATATTACCAGGAAGATGAACAGCCAGATGTGAGCAGCGAGCAGCATGAGACATCAGAAACCAGCAGTGTCCAGGAAGAGACTCCTGTGCCAGAGCAGCCAGAACATGCCTTGCACTCCTCCAGTGCAGAGGAAACAGACAATCTCCCCAAGGACTCCATAGCTTCCACTGTCATCTTTGACCAGGAAGAGGAAGAAAAGGAAGAAGATGCTGGACAGGAGAAAGAAGTGAAGTCAATTCTCAAAACAGACAGGCACGTGGGAGATGATGGCTACAAAGCTGTGTGGTTTAAGACTGATGTGGACCCTGAGGCTGGAGAGAGGGTTGAAGTGATTGAGGACAATGCAGCAGATGATGATGATGATGACAGTGACCAAGACCTGCAGAAGAATGAGGAGGAAGAAGGTTCTGACACAGATGGTCACCACCAAGGGCTGGGAGTATCCTTTGCCTCAGAAAGCTCGCCACCCCCAGCAGCAGAGGTGACACTCAACATATCTCACACAGACGCAGGGGCAGATGACTCTGACATATAATGGAAATTGGGTACATACCTCCAAAAATGGGGCAATCTCAGTTTCTTTGCTGACATAAAGCCCATCTTTCTGCTCAGGGAGAAACTGGAATACAGAAGGGTGAGGTTATCTGTCCTGCTTGTCTGAATGCAACAAATAAGGCCAGAAGAGATTACAGCTAATTTAACCCTTTAGTGAGACCTTGGAATATCACTTCGGATTTTCAGGGTGAAGCATTTTATCTTTCCACCTTCCTGCCTGTTCCCTCTGGGTCCCTTGACATTGCCTTTCCTAACCTGGCTGCAGGTACAGCAGAGCTGTAGCTGACCTGGCCTGGCAGCAGTGAGCCCAGCTCACAGGAGCACTGAGTTGCACAGTCCAGTGTTGTTTGAGTCTTCCCTTGAGGATGCTGCAGCAGGGTGTCAGCAAGTCCCTCTGAACCTGCAGGTGCTCCTGTGACTGTGCAGGAGCTGACCTCAAGGCTTGGCTCTGCTCTGCTCTCCCAGCACAAGCAGCTGGAATGTGCCACCAGGCCCTTGTCCTGCCAGCCAGGAGGCTCCATGCTCAGGACCTGCTGTTTCCTTTGTCACTGACAAACAAGGACTCATCACATGTTCTTTACTGAAGGACTTTGTCATCAATTTTCTATGTCATAAACCCACTAATTGTGCAGTACTTTAACTATCTGCTATGTCAGGCAAAAGAGCTCCTGAGATACTGTCTTCAAGTGCCAAGTCAGCGTTCTGTTTCCAGGTAGCAGAGGGAGGGAAATATTTGATGCTCATGTCTGAGTTTGCACCTCCCATCAACCAATCTCTTCTCCCAGCTGGCAGCCAAAAGCTGGGCTGGTTTCCACCAGCTGACAGCATGGCTCTGTGCATTTGCATCTTCTGATCATCAGCACAAGATTTGTGCTGCTCCTGGAGAAAGAAACCAAAGAGTGACTGCTGAGATCTGCAGGAATGTCAGAGCACATGTGATTCCCGGGGAGGCTTTTATCCTCTTGTCCCTGTCCCAGTGTTCCCGTGCTCAGCCCTGCTCTCCTGTCTCTGAGAAATGCTGTCCTGGCCTCCTGGATTTCAAGAGCTGTGTGTGTGCTGAAGATCACGCCCAGGACCTGGGAAGTTTTCCTACTTCCTGCAGCAAAACTGTTTGTCCAGGAATTACAGTGTGGTGTTGGAGAGTGGGGAGTGTGCCCAGTGTTTGCCCTATAAAGATTCCCTCCAGCAGCTTTGGGATATATCCAGGAAGCATTTCCCACAGGACTGTCAGCACTCTCTGCAGCTGCTCACTGCCAGCCCAACACCCCTGGCCACCAGCAAGGCTGAGGGTCGAGCCTGCCTGCCCCCCGTGCTGATGCTGCTCATGGCAGGGATGATGTGATGCTCCTTGCTGATGTGGAGAGAAGCTGGAGTTTTTCTCCTCTGCTCCATTTCCTTGGTGGCTGTGCCATGTGTGGTCCATTGCTGTCAGTGCTCTGCTCTCTGTCTCCCCTCTGCTGCTGTGTACCCTGGATTTCTGCTGGCACACTCATTTATGAGCTCCCTGCGACTGCAATCCGGGATCAGCTCTTGGTGCTTTCCTTCCCCTCCCCAGGGTGCTTCACACGCTCTTGGAATGGGGCTGGTCCCATCAAACCAGTCTTTGTTTTCTCCCAGGTCTCATCAGTGCACACAGCCACGGGATTTGGTGTTTTTCAGGGTTATGGGTGTTTCATTTCAAAGGAGGTGATGTTTGGTAAATATTGTGTCTGTGGAAGCGGTGGTTGTTGTGAGGAGAAGCACAACAACACAATAATAAAACTTGGCAGCAGGCAAAGCTCAGCTGCTTCCAGCTATTGCCTGTTAAAGACTCCAGATCCTGTGTTCTTGACTCCTGTCCTTTTGGAAAGAAATAAAGAAAAATGTGTAAGGAACAAGAAGAAAATGTAACCTTTTAAGTTCAAGTCCATGTGTGCTTGCACTCCATCTGTTTGGGTTGGTTTGTCTGCTGAGCCTGGGAAGTGTGACAGAGTTTTTGCATCCTTGTACAACAATCACATCTGCATAAGAAAGAAAAATGTACTGATAGAAATGTTTTTAGAAAATCTGATCAGCTGAAGTGTTTTTTGATGGCAAATAAATATCTAAGTATCTTGAAGATCTAATCCTTACACTCCAAAGACATTCAAGTGCTTTTGGAAGTTTAACCCTACAGGTAAATTTAAGAAATCTCTTTCACCCCATCTCCAGTCAAGCTCTGTTTTTATTTCTGTACCAGCTTAGAATGATACTTTTTAAATATTAGTAATGCAGAGCTATAAAAAGCTGGTCAGCAAATCTGCAGGGGGAGAAAGAGCAGTTTCAGTGTGGCCGTGGTAAGTGTGGGTTTGAAGTTTTACAGGTGGGAGTGGCACAGATGCCAAGGAAAGGGATCCTCACAGCTTTCCAGCTTTGAGCACCCTCTCCTGATGTAACACAGACCTGGCATGTGCCTGTTTCACCTGCATTTTGGCCTCTAGCAGGAAAAGAAAGCTCTCAGCTGCCAGGGGAAATGCTAAAGCTGAACTAAAACCAGCAGGTGCAAGCAGAGAATTGAAAAAAATCAAGTAAATACAGATATTTTACCTGCAGGAAGTAACAGAAACAGACTGAAAAATTCCCAGGTGTATGAAAATTAATTTATGTTCAAATTCTGTCCCCATTTGGAACTGAATATGATTTCATCAAGTGTCATTGGAATAACTGACAGCAAATGCATCCTTTTGCTTTTTTTTTTTTTTACTTCTGAGAGAAAAATGCTTCTGGAACATGGCTTGCAAGAGTGCAGAGGACAGTTGTTGGTTTAGTTTTGAAGGGATGGAAGAGAACTGGAGACCTTTCCCTTTGTATGTAGGATAGTGGAATGATCTAGCATTTATAAATTTCCAAATGATAAACAGTCAGAGATAAAAGATCTGTTTTAACCTGATTCCCCTTAGATATTGAGCAGCCTTAGCTCCAAAAGGGATTCTTATTCCTTCAAAAACAGAAGTCAATTAAATTTTATTCCAGTTTGTGCGATTTATTTTTTCATGAGTTGGTTGCTGAGGCCTCATGGAAATAAAGATGACCTCAGCAGTAAATGGAATTTTAAAGAAACGGGATCAACTCCATCAAACAAGTTTTAAGCAAATTATGGCCCTTCCTTTTTATAAATACTTATTTCATCCAATCACCAAAAACAACAGTTCACAGTTCAGGACATTTTAATAATGGAAACCAAGAAAAATATAATAATTTAATATTAACGATAACACATAACAGTGATAGCAACAAGAGCAGCAATAACAATGACGGTGGAAAGGAGAGAAGTCACTCCACACCCCCCTTTAATATTATAAATCCAAAATGTAATCCAGAGCACCACTCTGGAACTTCCAGTGTGGGGGATTTCCATATTCCTGTTATTTTCTCTGCAACCCATCCTGGAGATGTCGGGACTAAGGGAGGCACTGGCTGCTCCTCTGGGCAAGGGAAAGGCTCCTGTGCTATTCCCAAAAACTGGAATTGGTGCCCTGGGAGCCCAGTCCGGCCCTTCCAGTGACTGGGGGTCACCCAGAGGGGCTTTACCTGCATAAAATGGAGATGACATCCTGGTCCAGTGCATTTCCAGCAGAATTGGACACTCCTGGCCAAGGTGACCAGTCCATGGAAGTTGCACCTGTGACAATCAAAGGGGATTTTAAGTTGGAGACTTAAAATCAGAAACTCCAGTTCTTTTCAGCACCTCTTGCTTAAATGTTTCCCTGCTGGAAGGGCTCAATTAGTATTTTTATTGATTAGATTGCCAAAGTGAGGGAAAAACAATCAGCATTTCCTGAATGTCTCCATCATTTCCACAGTCATCTGCAACCAGAGGCCAATGGGCAGCAGTCTGCCTGGAACAGGCTCAAGGGGTGGTATTAACTCCATTATTCCCAAGGTTTGAATGGTCCTGGCATTATCCCATGTCCCTGAGAGTGCCAGAAACCCCAGAGCTCCAGGAGCTGCAGGCAGGTGTTTTTCCTTCTCAGCTTTTTGGGAGTGTGGGTGAAGGTCCCCTTCCCTGTCTGGCTCTGGGAGTTGTCCCTGCCACAGACCCCACACTGACCTTGGGCCCTGTTGGAACCAATTCCCTTGGCATGGCCCACACCCTACAGGAAAATGGGAAAGTGCCCAGTTCCAGTCAGGAATGTCTCAAACAGCACTGTGGGTGTTCTTGCTCTGGAAGGAAAGTCAGGATGAGCAGAATTCCCAGGGCCTGTGCAGGGGTTCCCTATGGAACAGCACTTTGGTTTTTCAGTCAAGGGCTTTTCCTGGTGCCCTGAGGCACAGGGTGACCCACAGATTTGTCCCTCCCTTAGTTCTCACACACTCACACACTGAGGTCCCCTCCTTCAGGGGCTGCATCCAGTGGGATTTTCCCACTTTCCAGCAGACGAGGGATCAGTCTCCAGTGTCTCCAGGAAATTTCCACAGCTCACCCATTCCCAAGTACAGTCAGGACGAGGGAAGAACAAAGATTTTAGCACTTACCATCTTTAATTTTGCTTTCCCACAACAACTTGCTCTGGCTCTTTCCATCTCAAAAGGTTCCTTGTCTTTGTTTCAGCCTCAGAGGATCCTGTGAGATTTCACACTCTCAAATCAAGATCCCAAACCCAGAGGGTTGTCCATGAAGGTGGAGCAGTGTTGGCTGCTCCAGTGAATTTTCTCTATGTGCACAACTCAAAAACCATTACAATACTTCATAATTACCTTGAGCTGGTGCTGTAAGAATGAAAAACTGATTTTCCATGTCCAGAGGCAAGAGATTGTCCTGGTCAGGCTGTGAGACCTTAAAGTGCACATTGATCTGGGGGCTGTGACTGGGATTCCAGCAGGGATTGAGCCTTGTGTGTGTGCAAACCCAGCATGGGACGGGGCAGGTTTTCACTCGGGGAAGCTCTCCCTTTATTCCTTAGCAGTTTTTCTCTGGAATATTAAACAAAGAGGGAGGCTTTGTCCTTAATCCAATTACCACAGGGCAGCAAATTACTTGTTTCTTGTTTACCAGCTAAGAACAAAACTGGGAGCAGCACTGACAAGGCTGGGAG